AAAAAGATGAAATACTTCTTTGATCGATTCTATATTATGTAATTCATGATATTATAATATGTTGCACAAGATATTGTAACATTCACTAAAGCAGTATTCAATCTAATTGCACTGGTAGATGCAGTTTCTGACGGGCTTCAATTTGGTATAAATCGTTTTTTATTTTATGTGTCTTTTAGGTCGTGTATGGGGGGAGAAAAAGGTTATGTTACACCGTGTATAATTAAAGTAATGTTTGCCAAAACCAAAAAACATAAATCAATATTTAGTTCTATTGTATTCTTCTCACATATGTTCTCATTATTCATTTTATGTCGTGATAAAAAAAGATAAATACCAAAATGAAACGTATAAACGAAAATAATTAATGCAAGTGCAAGTTCACAGATCTCACTAATTAAAATAACAGCCCAATCATTAGTTTTATGCCTGTCTTGAAACAAAAATGATTATAACTGATACACTCACTAAAAAAATAACTACACCCAATGAATGTATCTTCAGAGTACGTAGATTGTATACTTTTAACTTTCACATTCAGGGTTTCTGGTTGTTCTGAGAGATGGAACATTTTTCTTCGCAGAAAGCGGGTGGAGAAAAACGTTTTGGAAATTTTTGGCAAAAATTTGCTGGTGAAAAAGCGTCCGAGATTCTGCCAGAAGGGCCAGCAATCTCCGCTCGGGAACCCTGTTTGCACCTATCTCTTATCCAGATCTAATCTTTCGTATATTTTCCAAATACAAAAAAAATTTGTTTTGCAATTTTCTCTTTGAATGTTTGATCCGAAAAAATAAGATGAGATGCAAGTACATCAATATTATGATTAAATGAAGTGGTGTATGTTCAACCACAATCACAAATTATCAATATTACCTCCACACCTACCGTATGTCCTCTGTTGATTTACTCCCTGAAAGTAAGATGTTTACAAACAATTGAGTGAGTTATTCATAAGGTTCGTGTTTTCCTTATTTTCAGAGAAGCCGTCAAACACATCTGTTGTGTTTCAGTACTACGCGCAGACCTTCGTAGATTCTAGTTCAGAGTGCCTCTAGAAATCTGTTCCTACGGTCGAACCACGCAAAATCAAGAGGTTCCTTAGATCTAGCTTTACAGAGGATACTTTGGACTATCTATTGATGAAAAAAAATTATTAGATTTGTATAGAAAATTTTTGGGGCGACGAACTAATTTTCTGGAGATCTTCTGAAAAATCGATCTTTGAGATTTTTCTGAAAAAAAGACTTTGGTTACAACAATATGCAGCTGGGCATCCTTTTTTTCATGACATATTTTTTCGTGTAGACATTATTAGTTAATGCAAATGCGAAAATGACAAAAAGCAAACTCCAAAAGTGATTGTGTTTAGTTGAATTTTCTCTGACCGATTTCATAGTCGATCGTGTGTGCACAATCACATAGTGATCCATCAGTATCAAATGAGAAGTCTCGACTTGCGGACCTTCCCTGTTTTTTAAAATTTACTATCTATTTGAAGTGAGCATAAGTGATATGATTGTAACATTTTAGCATGATAAACACGTGAGGGTTTTTCCTGATTAGAACAAAAAAATTGTAATCGACAATTTATTCAATTCAAAATAAGTACATTATTTTTTTGAATTTTTATATAATTCGAATATATTCAAAGTTTTTATAAATCATCAAAATAAATTACTAGTTTAAAATAATAAATCAAAAATTCATAATCAAATGTCTATAATTCAATCAATTTCTAAATATTCAACATTTGAAAGTCGTTTATCATACAAATGACTTTTTATTTCGAGAAAAATAATACAACTGTGGAAACGATAAATAAATATAGTCATTGGTATTAAAGAATCTGCTATTACGGTCCACGTTTTACCATACTGACATATTTGAATTTTATTTGTGTCATATTTTTTAGCATTAAAAGTATCAAATAACCATATTGCAACACTTAACATTATCCATACATTCATGTTTCGATTAGATTGTTTCTCAAGTTTACATAAACAAAAAATAATCAATGATTGAAATGTTGACTGAATAATTGGTATGAATGAAACAATCGTCGGTAAAATTCGTATACAATCTTTTATTGGATAACGTATTGAACCACGAAAGGTAAAACCATAATATACACGGTGTAACATAACCTTTTTCTCCCCCATACACGACCTAAAAGACACATAAAATAAAAAACGATTTATACCAAATTGAAGCCCGTCAAAAACTGCATCTACCAGTGCAATTAGATTGAATACT